TATATTTTTGAAAATTTGTATAGTTCTTTTATTAATGAAAAAATAAGAAATTCAAAAGCATTTGCTTCCTATTTATTTAAGATAACAAATAACGAAAAAACAAAGAAATAAATAGGTAAATACGTTAAAAATGAGAAAATTCATGGTTATATAATACACAATATTGTAGAATCAAGCAAGTACGAAAATTTGATAGAATATTTAAAAGTGTTTAAACAGTGTATATATTCATGTTCATTCATAATTCATTTATGAATTTGTACTACACAAATTTTGAATGTTCTTAACAACAAATCGGAACTGATATTTTCAAAAATATGTTTATTATAATCACATATTGGAATCAGTACTTCATATGCCCATTGATAAATTTATAGAGCAGCGCTTTCATACAAATAGAAAATAGTTGGCAGCGATATAATGAACGCCCACAATAAACTGTTGAAGGACATGTTTTTAGGTCAAGCTATGAAGTAGTGGCGCACGCTTTCCTTTTGAGTTTTATTCATAGTTTGCGGTCATGCGATGTGGTTCGGCGTGGTTGGAAAATACTTACCGCGAAAAACGCGCTTCACGCAGGCCGTGGCGTTCTTGTTGGACAGTTCGTTTTCCAAAAAACGGGGCGGGGCAATGAAGGCGCAATCGTACTTGAAATGATTCTCGATTTCGAAATTCTCGCCGCAGTTCGCCTCGTAAACGGACTCGCATGAGTAGCATCTGATGGCGTAAGCTGTTGGCATTGAATATATAAAGATATATGTATATATACATATATATTCTCGATTTATATGTCTAGAGACACATGGGTCAAGTGCGAACCTGTGGCCAGCAGCGTGAGCAGGGCGCTCAAGCTAAGTAAATACTGCATTTAAACTGCTGTTTTCGCGTTCAAGTCAAACAAAGGAAAACTTAAAATACTTTCCCAGCTATATGACTGTAAACAGTTTGCATGGATCTATGGAATTTATTGCTGAAAATATCAAATATATATGTCTATATATATTTATATTTATTTTAATTGCCGCATTGGCATTTCGTGTTTTATGGAAAATTTCTTGTATTGGATTTCTTGTTGTTTGTACTTTTCTTTTATTTATAAATCTTTCACTCAGAACGAAACGAATTATTTGGTTTGAAAGTGTTTGTTGTATATGATTCTATAAATTACTCGTGTTGTTACACATTTCTTATATTTGTATTATATTTTTTTGTGAATTTGTATGCACGGTAAACACGCGTCATTCTATATTTTGCCACAATTTCCACACCGATGTCTAACAACAGTCGCCCGTCTCTACACGATTTTAATGTTGTTGTTGTTATTGTTGTTTCAGAGATTTTCCGGTATGTTCTGTTTATAAAACAGCAGAAAACGCCTCAGCCATCCGTCAGTCGACGGCCACGTTCGAAACTAAACTGAGAAATGCCAAAAGCATTTCCAAATTCCACTTCTGGGCTCTCACTCTGCGCCTCTCTCTCCACTTCTCACACTTGCTCTCAGCGGTTCCTTTCTACAGTCTGGGCAACCACCTATTGAAATTGTCTAATTTTAATGAATTTCCCCCCAGACGCAAAAGAATATATATGTATATTCTATCTAGAATTTATAGCACGCATATGGAGAAAGAGGAAAAAACGTTTTCATTTAGCTCTTTGCCCCTTTTATTTAATATCAGCAAAGAGAGCTAACCAAGTTGCCAAAGAGCACAACCAACTCGACAACTTATATGCGTGTGAGTGTGTGTGTGTGCGTGTGTTGGTATTATGCATGGGGGAGTGTTTGCAGACGCTTTAATTATGGCCTTGCACGGAAGGACAGCTTTCACTGGAGACACATTGTCAATACATTTCCCTTAATGATGAGAGTGTCGATGCCAGGACGTGTTTTGTAGATAAACGATTTTATGACTGAACAGCAATTAAATTTGAATTGCAGAATAGCTCTAAATTGATTTGCATATATAGATACCCATACATACATGTATAAGCAAAAGCTATCTAAGATTGTAGTGCAAGTCTGTGTGAGTCTTGCTGCATATTCAATTTTATCTACCTATTTCTATAGTTTGAGTAATAAATACCAGAAAGCTTTGAATGTCGATAAGTGATTTCAAAAAGTGAGTATTCCTGTTATCTCTGCAGCGATCGGCTTTTGAGAGAAATTTTAATGCAAATTTTGGTGAAGTAAGTGGCGAACAGAAATGATAAGTAGGGGGCAAAATGTTCGTTAGCAGTACAAGAATAGTGTACTGTTACTCTACTGTTATTTAACAGAGTAATAACTTTATTCTGTTCATTAACATTTTACCATTGTCATTCTGCTACTCATTTCTGTTCGCCTGGTACTTTTGAAAATAGCCTCCTTAAGTTATGCAGCTATGTTTTGTAACTGTTGATTTTTTCCTATTCGCCAAGTTAATTTGCTAATCCATAATTCGTTCATATGGACCGAAAGGCAGACATTGCACAGAACTAATATACTCATTTCACTTTTGTAAATGAGTATAACAACGTTGGTCTTTTAATCAAAATACCTTTTGATAGAAAACCGGGTAAATTGAATTGGGTAAAAATGTATTCATGTTGTCAATAAAATTTGAATTATTGAATATTTTTGTTTTTTACATAAAAAAGATATGCAATTTTGATAATACATAAGTTACATATAAAATGTTTATGATTTTAAATTACGAACTGCAGTTGAGGACTCCAGTAACAATTTAGGCCAAGAGGCGAGCCACGCTGAAGAACAACAGAATCGCTCCAGCAATGGGGGTGATGGAGGAGGAGCCGTTGCACTCGTCCTTGGTGCAGACATCGCAGCTCAGCTGCTTGACGAAGGGCAGGGAGGGATCTGCCTGGCAGCCGGTCTGTGTATTGCTGACGTCACCAAAATAGCAGCTGCGCACGATCTGCGGATGGCCGGGCACTAAAAAGGGCGGAAAATTCAGAATGTTAATTAATCTCGAAAATAGAATGAAACAAAAACCGATTTACAAAACTTTGCTAATTTTGATGCATCGTCATCATATTGAAATTTTGTAATGTACAAGCTAACGAATGCTAACCAGACGCGTTGACATCGACATCGTCAGGGTGACGGAGCCTGTTAAGCTTTGTGCTCTTAGTGCTGATTATTTTTCAAGGTCTGTCATTGTTTCAACGTCGATTAACTGTTATTTGAATTTAATTAGCATTACTTGGGGTTTTTTCAGAGCCCTTACCAATTTTGTAAATGGAAACTGAAATAATGCGCAGTTCGCATAGAGCCTTAATGACTACGAAAGCTTAACTAAAATATAGCCGTGACTAATTTATGGATGACAGCCTGACAGCTACTTAATTACACTGCTCGTTTGACAGAACTTGCTCAAGTCAATTGTTGATCCAATTAAGAGAAGTGACGCCTTTGGTGGTTTTTCTTGATTTGGCAATGGGTGTAATTAAATACAAAATGCTTGGGCATACAATTTCGATTTGTAATGCTATTTAAATATTTGCTATTTATATATTTGCTATTTATATATTTGCAAGATGATTATATTTAAAAGCAACAATTTTTTTTTTTTTTTTTCAAATTTAAATTTTATGCCAGATCTTATCATTTTTGATCAAAATATTATTTGAAACCTTAAAAAAATTGGCAACAATATTAAACTCATTGTATTCTTAAAAATGTTGCTAATATAATTTATAATTTATTTTTCCATATTTTTTTACGGATTTTCTATATCTTTAACTTTAACTTTAAACTTCTAACTTTTAATTTCTTTCCAAATATAATATAATATTAATATTTTTAATATTT